GGGGGGGGGGAGGAAATTAAAGAGACGAAAGATCGACATGCGCTCCCCTCTCTTAGGGATTATTTCAAATCTATCTTCAGTTATTATTCGGAGGGATCATCTGAAATGGACGTTCGACCTCGACTCGGGATGCGAATTAAGGGTAGAAATGCCTCAGCGCATCCCAACCCGAACCTTGACCTTCGACCTTCGACCTTCGACCTTCGACACAGAAGACGGTGCCGGCCCGCCGTCTCGTGCCACTTTCGCGAAGGAAAAGCACCGTTCGTGGCTTATCACCGCCTTCGTGGCTCGTCGCCGCCTTCGAGACGGAAACGAAGGTCGGTTGGAATTTGAAATTGCTCCGTCGGAGGGGAAATTCACGGTTTCGGGCGGGTTCGGTGGGTCTTTAACGAGGACTCGCGAGGGAGATGGGAGTCCCGATTCGAGGAGTCCCGTTTCGAGGAGTCCCGATCTAGGGAGTCCAGTTTCCCTCCCGCGGGACGGGACCAGAGAGGAAACCTTTACGAAGAGACCTCAGGGACTCATTCCCGGATCGATCGGAACGGAATAAAAAAAAAAGGAATAAAGAAAAAGCGAAGAGAACGGACACGAATCGTCCCGAACTCTAAGACGACGAAAGGGACCGTTGACGATGGATGACGAGCCACTTCCACTTCGGCTTCGCTCTCCCGAGTTCATTTCCCTCGGGAAGAATCACTCATACGATTCACTCCGCGATCAATGTCCCCCTTTTTTTTTCGGTGCGAACAGTTCGGAAATCTGGGGGGGGGATCCAGAATGAAATCCGGAAGCAGAAAAAATGAAGAGTGAGAAAGTCATTAACGAGGACCCTGAACGCTTCCCAAGAACTGCGTCTCTGGTCGAAATGCTTCTGAGAAGCCAGGAAGCGGAGATGACGGGAAGCGAAGAAGCCAGGAAGCGGAGATGACGGGAAGCGAAGAAGACGGGAAGCGAAGAAGACGGGAAGCGGAGAAGGCGGGAAGCGGGTCCCCGCCGACCTCATCCTCTCTAAATAAAAACGTTGAGTTCGGAAGAGACCCCTAGGCAGTGAAGGATGTGGGCACACCGGGGTTCGTCCTCGACCATCCTCGTCCGTCCTCTCCTGGCTGAAGGTGTGAATTGGAAGAATTTTCGGTATGATCCCGGCTCGCCCTCTCTGTTAACCTGTATCCGCGCGTAGGTGGAGCCGGGACGTCTCGTGCACGAACGATTTCCGTTTCTTCTTTGGGGAAGACTCCGAGGGAGAAAAGGGCGATCCCGATTTCCCCTTCTTCGGTTCGAGTGCGATGTGCGCACGAGAACGATGGCGTGGCCGTACGGATGCATGTCGTCGCACGCGTGAATTCTCGACGCCGTTCGTCCCGACTCCATGGGGTCGTTCGGGGATCGTCCGAGTACGTCCTCGATCCCGGGCTCGGCATCCAACGTGCCGAGCAACGCGAACCGTCTCGACGGTCTCGTCGTCGGTCGTAGTCATCGGCGTCGACGTCTCCTCGCGGCAGGCGCTCGCGATGGCACCGGCCGCCCGACGCGGGTGCGTCGTCGGGGCAGCTTCCATCCGCGATCCGATACTTTCGGCCGTCACCCTAAGTCGATGGCCGTGGGTGAGGATTGGGAGGCAGACGCTCTCGAAAACCGAGTTTCGCCTCTTTGGAAATTTCCGATTCGACGACCGCAGTCCGCCAGAGATCGATCTCAGAGCGGCAGTTCGGTTGCAGTCGAACGATAGTCCAAAGATGGTCCCGGTTTGATTGCAGTTGCAGTCGACAGGAACTACGACTGGACCTTGAACGGACTGAGATTTTGAAATCGTTCTCCAGATCCCGTTTGACTGCAGTTGGACTATAGTAAGACTGCAGTCGCTACTCGCTTCAGTTTCTTTTCTGTTCAAATGCAGTCGGATCGTGGTCCAACTATTCGTTGACTCATTTCTAACTTACTCGTACGTTTTTTATCTAAACTAATTGAAACGGTTCGACGCCGGCCACAGATCGGTGTCATATTCGTAGTTGAATTCATCGCTGGGCATCTGTTCCACTGCATACGTCGCCGCTCTAGGACTTGATCGCATGCGGGGTGCTTCATTGCCACGATTTGTGAATGGCTAATGAAAGCAATGTATCATCCCCGTTCCATCGTGACATGGGAAGGAAAACCAAGCGGCACCAACTTCAACTCAAACAGAGGAAGAAGAAATCGAGACATATTTATTTATTAGCTTGATCTTCCCATCGAGACAGTTGCCGCAGTGTGGGTCCGGTTCGAGTTCTCCAGGCGCCATGACAGAAGAGAGGATTCAGACATACTAATTGATCAGAATCATAGTCACACTCAGGTCAGACTGAAGTATGACTAAGATTGGATTGGGAGTCGACACAGACTCTCGCAACTGCGGTCTGACTTGGATTCAAATGACACGCTTCGACTATTCGCGAACGAAAAACTCAACTGTAACTTTAAGTGAATTGAAACTTAACTGCCCTTTTGAAATGAACCAGAGCTCCCACAAAACTGCAGATGCCTTGGAGATGCGATCGTCGATAAGGTGATCGCTGGATACTTGAAATTCACTCATTCGAGTGCCAACCCCCCGACATATGGGGCGTACTGCACAGGATTTCTGGCGAGAAGCACGATCGGTGTCGTGGAGACGCCGAGTTTCTTTCTGTTCACAGTGCATTTTGAATCGAACCGATCCGGCACGCCTCGAAGTTCAGTCCAGACCGGGTCAAAAGGACGGCATGATCGGCAAAGAGAGGCGTCTTCACCTCGACCCCTCGGACCTCTGGTGCAATACGGATGGATGGGGGAAACCTAGGGTTGGTGCAAGTCGAGGGTAGTCCCTTTCACGTGGGCATGACTGCTCAAAAGACGGCGGAGAAAGAAGAGGACCGATAGAGCGAGCGAATTATGCAACATCGTTGATCGTATCGTATATCGTAGATGCCCTTTTGATCGTGAGCCCTCTTTTTCTTCCCAAGCAAAAATTTGTCCTGGGGCTGCTCCTCCCGTTCCTTAAATCTAATGTCGAGAGTACCACATAACGTTGAGTGCGTTCTTCGCCTTATGTTGTCTAAATCTTCATCTCGTCTAAAACTGACTAAAAGTGCGAGACGAGCGATGAATTAACAGGTACGATTCAGACATTTAAACTCAAGGTGCCTTCAACAGTCCCCAAAACGGTTGTAAATTTAAATAACTTTAATTGGTACGTCTAGTGGAACATCGAAGTTCTTCCACAGATCGAAATGAAAAACGATGACATGAAAGTCTCTGGATACCGTGGCAAGTAAGACATTACGACTCAAGAACTTATTCCAGGTAAGACGCCCTTGATGGCTCCCAATTCAACTTGGATAATCCACACGATGCACTGACAAACTGATCGTTGAAGATCATCATCTTGTAACATGATTAAAGAGTTTTTGAAACGCCCAAGGATTTCCGTTCTCGTGCTGCTACACGAGCGTGAATGGAGTTCACCAAGTTAGCAGCTTATTCCTAAGCGAAATGAAGAGACCTGTCTTTCACTTCTCCCATTGTTTGCATTCTCGAAATGCCAGCAAGAGACAAGATCGACACACAATCAAGAATCACCAGGATTTCAAAGACCCAAACATGACATCAAATGGGTGGAAATACCCAGATACATAATATGATTAAATAGAATGCAATATCACCCAATCATAATATCACAATCAGTTGACTCCTGTCATTCTGATTCCTCAATCTGGAATAATGCAGAAGTACGTACCCAACGAGCACGTAAAGTGCAACACACCCTGGTAAAAAAATGAAACTTAAACAATAGGAATGCAAAAGAGCTTCAAGGTTAAAGATGCACAAGTTTAAGGCATTTGGCAATTTGAATGGAGCAGTGCTTTGGTCACACAATATGCAGAGATGCATGGGACGAGTGAATGAAGTGTGTCACAAATAGGTGAAGTAAAACTAGGTGAAGTTCAAACAGTTTTACTTGGGGCAGGAGCAGATATTGCACTTGTGTGTCCTGCAACTAAGAGACTAGGATGGCCCATTGCCAGATCAGCAGCACATGATTTTTCATACTTTCTTCAAGTGCTTCCCAGAAAATGTCCTTTCCCCCATCTCCCTACCCTAAAGCAGGTTAAATTACGATGGAATAATGATGGGTCTTTGGTGGTGACCATTTGCACTTTCACTATCACATGGAAGACCCTTTTCAGGAATATACCTGATCTGATTTGTGCTTGTGCATCTGATGCAGCACATGCATGAATGGCACGTGCTCGGACAGATACTCTTTGGAAACCATGCATCAGTCAGTGAAAAGATACATGAGCAAACACCTCAGGCTTCGGGAAAGGGATCACAGTCATCTTGGTGACGGAGGAGATTCTCGATCACTTTAATCCAGACATCATGAAAGCGAAAGACCATTAGAGCAGACATGACCATTGGTAGATCCTGACTTTCGCTTGTGAGCCTCGTAAACCACATCCGAGTCGCTGTCACTTTCGGACAACATCAAACTTCCTGCTCCCACTTTCACTGCAAAGAAGAGTCTGCTTGCATTCTGCATCACAGCACATCAAGCTAGGCAAAGAAAGAATCCTTACTTGTGGTGTGGAGCTCAGTCTCTTCATTCTCAGAGTTGAGGAGAGAGTATCGATGCCTCCGCTTGACCTTCCTTTTCAAATGTCGGCGACACAGCTTTATGCTCCACCACAAGATTAAGTAGCAGCCTGCAAGGATGGCTCCAATCACCAGGAGGACGTAGATAATGCTCCAATCTAGAGAATGACATTGTGGTAAAAAGAAAGCTCATCTTCAGTCAAGCAGAATTGTAAGCTCCACATACCACAATTCCTCTCTTTATCACCAAGATGTCTTCTGAATGGGTTTTGCACCCAGAAGGAATCACAGATGCACTCACGAGTAGCTTGGTCACATTTTCCGTGGTCTAGATGAAACAGATGTCAATTATGGACCAATAATTCATTTGGAGATGCAGAGATGGGTATTTGAAACCTTGGGATCTATTATCCCAAGGAAGCAACATACATGAACATGGATTCTGACAGATAACAGCATCAACAGAGAAAACAGGCCAGTCAAGGAAAGACTCGTCAAGCCGCAGCTTCTTCCGCAACCACTGCTCCACTTTTAGCCCTTCCAATGGTTTCCACTCCTTTTCACCTGCTGCACTTTCACTATCATATGAACTCAGCACCAGGAACCGAAAGACTGTCATTCTGGAACACAAGGAAAGGAATGAAGAATGCATGAAAAAAAGACACATCAAGGATGATTCAGTGATAGAGAGGCTGTAACTCACCCACTAAGCTGAGATGGATATAGTTTCAAGCTTTTAACTTGCAGCTGCTTTCCCTCCTGAGGGAGAAGCAGCTCCAATTTCTGAATCAATGATTTTTCATCTCGGACAGTGAAATGATTCAGGGGCACACTCAGAACCAGCTCAACCTCATCATTAATATTTGGGCCTGTGGAACAAACCAAAGGCAAAACTCAAAACTTGACCATTTTGCAAATCAATTCTATAAAAAAAAAATGCTGCAGGAATGGATATCAAACAGTGTATGGACTCACTTGAAGACACAACAATTGAAACCGTGTCTGGAGGGCTATCAACACCATCTGTGTCTGTCACCTGCAGTGAAACCATGTAGCGGCCAGCTTCCAAGCCTGTCAACTAAAGAAGTATGCCTTCTTTATGTTAGAAGCTGACACTCACTCAGGGAATGTGGAAACATAAGAGTGTACTAACAATGAGGTGAGGAGTATGGTCTGACTCAGCAATGATTGTAGCAGCTGCAAGTCCTCCATCTTCAAAAGTCCACAGCCATTTAATGATTCCTACATCATCACTTGATTTGCTGCCATCCAAAGTCACTGAGGATAAAGGCAGTGTCACGTGCCTGTCTCCACCAGCATCTGCCTTAGGTGGATTGTTCTTTGCTGAAATGCAAAAATACTCACTTGAGTGTTCAACTCCAACTGAATAGTGGATCAATTTGGTGATATTCTCACTCTGAATGACAGTGATGGATACATTCCCAGAGGCATTGTGTTGGCCATCAGAGACAGTCAAATTAAAGATATAGACTCCTTTTCCAAGACCGCTCACTTTTGTGACTGGTTCATTTGGGTGCTCCAGGCTCACATTAGTTGGACCACTATATGAAAAAAAAACAAGAACAAGTGAATTCAATGGAAAGTATTAATTCTAAATAAAGCCTTTCAATTTGCTAAAACTTACCTCAACAGAGTCCAGTTCCAGAACTTGATGGGAGAAGGAGCAACACTCAAGGAGCCATTGAGAATTGCTGTCCGTTCCGGCAATGTGATTGTGATATTTGGGCCTGTATTGACCACAGGGAGATCATTTGCTGGAGTCTTGACAAAAACACGGACAGTGACAGAGTCAGTTTGATCAGCTGTATCTGTCACCTTCAACTGGAATGTGTACATTCCTTCTTTAAGATTGCTAAGCCTCAGGAATGGACTGTTTGTTTCCTGCAATATAGAACCAAAAGGCCATTAAAAAAGTTCACATGGTGCATGATGGTGGAAAGCATGGTTAAGAATGATGCTGACCTGCATGTCAACAGCAAGATCTTGAGTATCGAGGCCCTTTGTCCACTCCCATTCCTTGATGCCTTTGTCATCTGTGCTTGCATTGCCATTGAGTGTGATAAAGTTTTGTGGTAAGAAAATTATCTGATCTTTTCCTGCATTGGCAGTTGGAGGATAGTCCTTTGCTTTCTGCACATTCACATATGCCACAGTCCAATTGGTGGCACCATCTGAATCTGTAACTGTCAGGCTTCACAGAGAGGAAAGAGCACCACAGAGGTTGCCAAATTAGATTAGATGAGTAATTTCCTCTAATCAAGAGTTCCAAAAGAAATACAACACCAACAGTCTTCTTACTTCAATTGATATGTGCCAACTGAGAGACTCTCCAGTTTGATCAATGCTTCATCAGGAAGGTTCTTCACTTGATTGTCAACAGGAGATGTTATTAAGTCCCAGTGATAAGAAACAATCTTGTCATCATCTTGTGAGGCTGATGCATCCAAAACAGCCATATTTGGCAGAATAAGAGTCTGGTTCTTGGGATTCACCATAGCCACTGGAGGAAGGTTTCTTCGAATGGCTATGAAATGAAGTTAAAAAATGACAAGATATACCATGTACTGTCACAGTTGAAGAAGGAATGAACACAAAAAATGCATGGATTCATGGAGACTCACGGGGAAGAACAGTAAGATTGGCCATGGCATCTCCATATAAGTATTCACCAGATACAGATACATTGAATAAATAAGTACCAGCCTTGAGTTTAGATAACTTCATCTGATTAGAATTTGTGTTAGACATGGTGCCCGAGTCATCACCAGGTGGTCGAGATACTACAACCCAACGGTATTCATAACTTGTGCCTAAAAGAAGGAAAGAAATGCATGGTGTCAAGAACATTTAATCAATGATAATACATACTTTCTTCTTCTTTTTTTTTTATCAATAAAAAAAGCCAGCCGCATTCACACCCTCATGCAATCTTTTTTATCGCTTTGCCTGTTCTTTGGGCACAGGCACCAGCGCCATAGGCCGGTGGTGCAACACTAGCAGCTGATACACTGTTGGGTGGTAACGAAGTAAAAGTAACGCGTTATAGTAATTAATTACTTTTTTCAGTAACTTTTTTGGTAACAAGTTACTTTTCAGGGGAGGGTAACGGAACTGGTAACTAGTTCCTTTTTCATGGGAAAAGTATGTGGCATTACTGTATTGCGTTCCTTTTCTTGATGAAAACAACCAGCACTTCATGACTACATGCGTCCTAATTGATGCAAAATTGGGAGGAAAGGCGGGGACATGATATTGACATGAGAAAGCATGGTTTTTTTCAGCGCAGGTTTATTGGCTGTACCTGCAAAAATATTTCGAAGTGCAGGAGGTTAGGAATGAATTTGAGAGTTCCATCAATATAAACTTATGCATGAAGTGCCCTTTATGTTTACTGATGACCAAGGTACTTTCCTCATGAGCTTCAACATTGATTTGAGAAAGCATGTCTAGATGATCTCCATCATGTCCTGACTTCATTCAGACAACCTTTGGTCTAATGTTAGGTCTTAATGATAGGCGTTGCTTTGGTTCTGATAGTGCCTCTGCATGGAAACCTTCCATATGCTTAACGTTGGCACCTCTCCTCAATTTCGTCCAATCCCCTTTAGGCTTGGTGGATGGGTAGACCCTAGCTGCCTCCCCATATTTCATGTGCACGGTTTTACCACCCTCCCAACAATACACCATTAGTTAGACTGTTAATTCTTGGAAGAGTGAGTGTTAAGCCTAATTGTGGAACCTAACTTAATAGAGTGATTTGCAAGTGAATTTGTACCACTTGTAACATAAACGCCTCAGACACTAGTGCCCATATTCCATGGTCGGAACACCCTCCTCTCCTTGATTGCACCATAAAAATACATAGTAAAAAGTTAGTGAAAATTCACTTTCAATCACTGTATGGGCTATATTTGTGCAGTCTATGCCTGGTTAAGGGGAAACAAGAGAACATGACTTCAATTTTTCTCTCTAGGTCTCATGAGGGGGGGGGGGGGGCATGTTGGGCTAGGTCTTCCCATCACCATGCAAATTGGCATTTTTTTTAAACTAAAGGGTGCATTCTGACTATCAGCATATAATTCCTGTTAAGTAGCCCATGGGAAGGGAAGAGGCATAGGGAAAAGAGTGAGCATGAATATTTATCCAGTTCAGTGATAATCACAATTCAATTTTCTTGAAATCAGGGGTAACATTTGCTTTCATTGCATGCATCCAGCTTCTGTCCAAGAAGTGGAGAAGCTTAGAAAGATCAGAATTTTTGCTCAGGAAAATTAACTAGAAAAGTAACTTCTACTTGTAATTAGCTACTTTCAGTGAGAAGTAATTCTACTGGTAACTAATTACTTTTTGGATGGAATACTTGTAATTGGAATTAGTTACTTTTTACAAGTAATGCAACCAACACTGCTGATACATTAGTGCAACCCTAGTCTTTACCCATATTGGTCAGGGTCAGGGTTATGCCACTTCCTTACAAACTGCCTCTTACTACCAATAGCCCAATACAAGAACTCAAGAATCCTCTAACATATTGAAAACCTCAATCACAAATTAACATATAAAGCCAAGAGGTTATTTTTCTGAGACTCACCAAGAGGTGGAGATGGGATGGCAACAACTGATAGGGACGTGCTGTTCTCAGGCAACTGGATGGTTTTATTCATTACAGAAACTATCAGCTTCTCAAAAAGTCTCTCAGTTGTAGTCGTTGTTTTTGTCATGTCAGTCTCTTCCAATAAATCTTCACCACTGCTAGCAAGTACATCAGGGTCTACAGAGAGAATTCAATTAGCACAACAGAATTCTGGACTCAAAACCTTTCCTCCCCTGATGTGAGATTACAAGAAAGATCTTATTGTAGCTTCATACAAATTATTTTCCTACTGACTCACAAAGTGCTGCTTGCTGTGCAGATAATTGAACACATGTTCCCATAGAATCTCGCTGATATCCTTTCACACAGTAGCATAAGCCATTCTTGCTCTTATTGTTGACAGGTGTGCACTCCTCATACTCTTGACAATCAAACATTCCCACTACACATGGTGTCGCATCTCGCACAGGCAGTGGTGTTGTGGAGGTATTGGAGCTGCACAGCAAACAGAAGAAAGGCAGATTTGAGCACCTCTCATCATGCAGAGCAGTACAGAGCACCTCATCAAAACCGAGAGATCAAGGCCTGCTTTGACATTACTTTCACCACTTACATCAACCAAAAATCACAGTTGATAGTTAGGCTCCATCTTTACCCTCAATACATGAGTTATAGGCCATACTGATAAAGAATGAAAAGAACAAGCCTCTTCAACTATTGCCAAATATATGAGGTAACAGACTTCATGCCAAAACCACATTCCAAATTGTCATTCTAAACTACTGGAAACCATAGATCTCCTTCCACCACCTTTATCAAAGCCATATTATGCAGATAAGTTATGTACAAAGGTGATTATGAGTTCCTGCAAAATATAAATATTTTCCTGCACACCAAGCAATGCAGATGTAATTCAGGTATATATGTGGTGAGGAAACTTTGATGGCTTCTATGATTTTCAACAGTAAAATCAACTGTTAACAATGACTGGATGTCACTAAATACTTATCAAGGGCAAAATGCAAGTTAGATGGGAGGGGAAGCTGTTAGATGCATGCCCCAAGCAGAAGCAACCTTACTGTTCTCTCCTGTATGACCATGACATTAGAATCTGCTGGCAATTTTGCAAATCTATTGATATCATGCAATCACATAAATGAAGTTTCTCAACAATAACAACCTTAAAAAAGGAATTCTAAAAGTACAAGTATGACTTGCCTTCCTGTACAGTATTGCCTAATATACACAGGAAAAAAATGCAAAATTCACAGGGACTTTACAGCCTTGGCAATTTGAATGGACTATGGGTTTAGAACATCATATGATGGGTAGAGGGCTCTAAGGGTTACTCATCCTGAATGTAACCCTACAAGGCGAACACTTTAGTGGATGAGTCTACAACAGGTACGATTGACATGTCACTGGAATGGCAACCCATTGTCACTATTGGAGTCAGTAGGCCAAATTATGCAAAATATCATATATAAACCCTTGAGGGAGCTGGTTTAATTTTAGCATACACATTAGCTAATGTCATGAAAAAAAAAGGACTGCTGAAAAAGCAATAAAACCTGTTGGCAAGTGATTTGTTCTCTGGAGTCTGAGGAGATGGAGTTGTAGGCTGGTTTGGGATCTCTGTAGACAGTGCCCCAACAGATGCAAAAGAAACAAGCACCACAGAAACTATTGCCAGCCCCTGGAATGTGCCAGCTGAAAACAATTCTTTACAGGTCATTGAAGAGGTATTTTCCAAAGTCAATGACAGATGACTCTGGTGCCTCTCAGATATGAGAGCAAGTTCTTTAACAAAATTATACTTTTATCCCGCCTTTCTTCAAGATGCAGATAGGTGACCCAATTTCACTGGGACTATGACTCCTACTAGGAAAAACCTCAGATTCCACAGAGATAATCCAATAAATTTTGGTATTATCTGGTTGCATGCTATGCCAAATCTCCGTAAAATCTGAAAAATGAGAAACCATTCTAGGTCATAGACATCTTTCATAACCTTCACTCAAATACATGAGACAAAAAGGTCATCAAAAGCAAGACTCTTTGTATGAGCAGGGTCAGCACAATGTGCAACCAGGTTCTCATGAATTAGAACCCTACTGCTGCCCTATTTTTTTGTCATTTTTGTAGAATTTAGACTCCCACAGTGCAAGTCACCTTCATTCAACAGATGATTTTAAATGGGGAAACCCCTCTCCTAACCTCAGCTTCATACTCAAATACATTTTCTGCAAGGATGAACAAAGTGTATGGAGACTATAACCCCTCAGTAAGGCACCTCTGCTAAAACATATCCATAACTGCAACTTAATATTGACTTCTTGCCATATTCTTTTTAATCTAAACAAAAAATGAAAATTTTGATTGAAAGTGGCTGACTCCTCTACTTCATTGATGACTACAAAAGGAAACCAGTCACCATATGCCAATTCACTTTAATTCCTTCATTTGTCACAGGAGTCTTATGTTTCTGGTTGTCCTTCCAAATTGAGATCCTCCAGCATCTCCTGAAGTGTAATTTGAGGGAGACATTCACTATCATCCATGTCATCTGTGTCAACAGCCATTTTTCGAGGATCCTTGTAAATGTTCACCCCTTGCCTTATTAATGGATCTTCCTCCAAGTCTTCCAGGAAATCAGTATATTCCCTAAGGACATGATAAAATAGAAGAAAGGATTCATATACCACATACTTCTAACACCATATAAATATACAGACTTAAGAATTTTACCTATTGTCAGAGGCAGCATCAGCATCATCAACTCCCTGCATATGACGGAGCTTCCACTTTCGACGTCGGTTTCTCAGAGCTTTGTCAGCATAGACTTTCTTCACCAGGACAACATCAGGGATACGATCATTGCTCAACTTCTCCAAGGCTGCATTATTCACATTGCTATTTGCCATGTCCAATCTAGAGAGAAAGATTTAAGCTATAATCAACAGTTGCAATTGCACAATTTGGTTGTTGGTAGCAGTTACTCACCCAAGAACAAGATCACCAGGTTTCAAGATATGTCCCATGTGGGATCTAGTGTGAACTGTAGTTGGTTCCATGCCAAGTTCACTTGATTTCACCACCCAAATATCAGCAACTTGGTGCTGTAGAATTGTAAACCTCAACTTGAAAAAAGCAACAGTTTCAAGCACTTACAAAGGAAGGTACCACTCATACCTTATTAGACAGAGGACCTTGACCAGGGAATGAAGTCCTCTCATTGTAAGGTATTATTTCCACATTCATGACCATGAATTCAGTCAGCTGTTTAGGACTACAAAGGCTCTGGAATGGAGATCTCCAGAAAACATTTCCATTCAAATCAGCCACTGCAAAAAAAATTAAGACTTAGTTGGATACATTATCTAATTAAAGGGCTCCAAAGTGATATACAAAAAACCTTGTGCAGTTTGGGGATCGATGAGATGGATGGAATGTGTCACACGGGACACAATGCAGATGGGATTCATACCACCCAGATTATGTGCTAGCTGCTTAGGCAAGCAGACTACATTGTCCTTGCACACTGGCACAATTTCCACGCTGAAATTTTGGATATCATTATCACCTTTGATTACATCAAATTAAGCAGACAAAAACAACTAAGTAAAATTCACCTGTAGGTATACTTATAGTGATAAGTATTACTACGAATGTCATGTGAGATGAGCTCCTTAGATTGTTGCCATCTGCAGGGCACAACAGTTGTCAGAAAATCAACCATCTTCTTGGCCAAGTTTTCTGATGCATAGAAGAAATCCAGACCATCTGCAAATATGGTTTTATTGAACGAAATAATCCCAATAAGAAGTGACCTATGAATAATTAAATAAAAGCTTTAACAAACATTATCCACTAAACTTACCATGCTTTGGTTGAATCCCAATAGTATTTTCATGTGCATTATGCTTGAGGATGAGTTGTTCTAGGTAGTAGAAGGTTCTCTTGTGCTCAGCTTTTTGCCGCACCTGGACCAAGGCCTTCCAGTAATCTTTGTTTTCAACCCTACGGCATCCATCACACATCTGACTGGCAACTGTGAATTCCACAATGAATGTCTGTTCCAATATAGCACCATTGAGGACCTCCTTCTGTATTTTCAGCTTCAACTATGGTAAAACGAAAAAAACAAAAACAAGCATAATTATATGCTTTCAGTATAATTTCAACTTGTTTGAATCCTCAAATGATCGCTGCTTAAGTAGATGCTACATGGTCTTCTAACACAATTGGGGAGGTTTAAGTCAAAATGGTATATAATAAGGCATGAGTCTTTGCAAGGTCTTACCACATTGTTAGCAAGTTAAATTTGACTTCCAATGCAATGAAACCCTTAACCATTTGGCTGTTTGCCCGAGTACATACTCAGGCTTATGCAGTGTTAGCATGGGAAAGTTCTCGGGCTCAGAACATTCACTGTTTCTAGGTTACTTCACAGCTATTTATGCATGTAACAGCTATCTTCAATAGTTATCATGATATGAAATTATCTTACATAAACTATTGTTTTTAAACAAGCAGGGCCAATTTTTATATGAAAATGTATCAGCCATCCCCTCTGTGTTATAACAGTCAAAGGGTTAAACATGGACTCACTTTAATCCGTTTGGAGTGAGGTTCAGTCCAAACAAAACTTGCATCCACTAGGTGAACCTGATTGAGACCTTTCAACCGTTTAAGGCACATTGCCAGCAACTCACGAGATTCAAGAGCTGCTTTGACCCACTGATTTGGAGGATTCAGATACCTGCATGACATAACATCAATTGGTCATTATTTCAACTATAGAAGTGGTATTGAAGCTAAAGAGGTAGCTTCCAGAAAGGGTGGATGATCTATAAATTTTTTTAGGTACTGATGTAATAATGTTTGCTACAATACTGTTCATAGCTCTTGCAACCCCACTGCATTTTCTACTTGCAAATGAGTGGGACACCAACAGCCCACACTGCATCTTAGCATGAAAATTTAGTCTAATTCTGACAAGCTCTTAGAGTCATTAGGATCTTGCTTGTACATTGTCCCACCAATTGTGAACATATTTTATTTGTTAATAACTGAAAGAAGCCAGTTGTACTAAGGAATATGAAACCTATTCCTAGGGCTTTAAGTTACATATAAAAGCAATAGATAAAAGTGTTCATGATAGGTGTTATTAATGTTAAAATTGAGCTGTACTGGAAGAAAGTCAAAGTTGTAGTAATGTACCTCCTGATACAGTGGAATTTTTGGTAAAACAAACTAGATTACCCCTTTAGTACATTTTTGTTAGACATGTCACTGTGCAACAATCCAGCCATCATGATAATGGAACGAAGTCAGAAAAATTGAGCTGTCCTAATATGTGTTTACATTGAAGTTTAATCCTCAACTTAGAAACTGTCTTCTGCAAAAATAGCAGAGATGGAGAGATACACTGTGATTGGATTGAATTTGTACCTCCCCACCCCCATTGGAGCAATTCCATTGATTGCAGGTAGTGAAATCTTCCACATTGGTAGTTATGTCTATCACCTGATGAAGCTGATTCTTTAGAAAGTTGTGTTTTCTCCTTTCTCTAATCAAGGAGAGGGTGTGAATTCAATCCCAAAAAAAGGGTAGTGACCTTGAACCTGCTTGAAAAAAAAAAAATATTCATCAGGAATCAACCAGTCAGCTTATTACTCATAGGGGGCACTTGAACTCCCCTTCTTGTGTGCATCTCTCTCTGTCTCTCTGGGATCTACACATCTATTTCCTGCTTCCTTCAAACCCTAAACAAGTTGTGCCATTTAATTTGGCTTTGACTAACAGAGAGAGATAACACAAACATATTTTGATCTTTTGATACCTGTGGCACCACTCTAAATGAAAATTAAGCTCCAGTTCCAAGATCAGAACTCATGAAACCCACAGCATTTTGGAATAACAAAAATACCACATGGCTCTGATCCATGTAGCTGAGATCTGGCAATGGGAAATAGACTCCTGACTGAAGGACAGAGTATAGGTCTCTACATTAATAACTCCTAATTTTCTTATCAAGAGCTCCATAGTGAGAACTTGTAAATCTTCAGTGTTTTCTTCACAAACCTTTCACAGGCTTTACAAAAATGAAGAGTAGCCTGCTTTGGGATTCCCTCTGAGATATCATACTGAGTCCTGATGCACCCGACACACATGTTTGCAGGATTAGGCTCAATTGGGACTCCACATTGGCAGCACAGGCTAAGGACAAATAAATAACAATAATAAATTTAATGTACATGGAACTCAAGAACAAAAACACACATAGTTGACTGTAGTAAGATACTCAGCCTTATCTATCAAAGGTCCTTCACAGTTCATACCACCAGTTGCTTTTCCCTCATGGGAGTTCTGCTGGGTCATAATTATAAGAAATTATTTTGTAAAGCTCACATTTCATACAATTGGGACATAGCTACCTAAGTGGGTTTTCATAATAACACCTAGGTGGGAAGGTGATCACTGAATGGCCATAGATTTTATTAAGGAAAAATATCACAAAAGCCTGAAAAACCCTTCAGTTTACCTTTTCACCTACTGCACCTTCACCCTCAAACAGGACTATTATTAGAGGAATACCCTGGTTTGACCTCATCCTCTAATATTTTCCAAGTTCTACTTCATACCTCTATGATAATGGTGACTGGTCCTCAACATAGGGGCCCAAGGGAATTCAGGAGGATGATATACATATCCTTTAACATCACATCTATTTGTCATTTTTCCCATGCTTCTACTGATGACAAATATCCTGTTATTCTGCACAGTGGTCATCTTCCATCTGATAAGATTGGATTAAATTCTGTTCCAGTCAGTTCCTGTGATTCACTAGGCTAGTCCAGCCACCTCCTTGACATCTCTTGTCTCTTTAACAACAATCAATGTCAATGCCTCTTATCATGATAATTTTGACATTCCAACCATCTTCTTCTGCATTCTTCCCACTGCTCAACTCTACTTAATAACCTCACTCATATGCCACTTTTCCAAGAATAACATTGTTCTTCACTGTTCCTTCTGTTATACAATATTCCTTCATGGATTTACATATTGCATAATCAGTCACATCCATACAGCACAGAGTCAAGAAGCTTGTCTGTTGTTATTTGCCTCTGGCACCAAAGACAAATGATAGTCTTTTTGAAAGATCAACCTTATGTACTTTCAATACTCCTTTGGTGGTAGGCACTCCTTAGAAGGAAAATTTGTTTCATTTAATGCCATAGAATAATTTTTGCAGCACATTTTGACACACTAAAACTGTAATTAAAACTATCTTAGGAAGTGGCACCGTTATTCCTTCCTGAAAAACTTCCTCAAATATCAGACCCTTAACTTCTTAGAGTTCCTCATACTTACACTTACAGCTACAATCTGTGGAAAGGCACAGGGATAAAGATCAATTGGCATGATGCTGTTTACACCAGGAACAATGTATGAGCGCATATGTCCAGTCATCCTGATAGCCAGCTCATAGAACTAAGTGGAAAGTGAGAAAGCATAAATCTGACTTTCTTCAGGGTAACAGAATAAAATGAAGACTAGCCTTTCTCTGCAAAATGGTTGCATTGTCAAAAGCTGAATGGATACTATCATATGCATAGCATGGATGGAAGTGAGGGGGCATGAGATATAAGGGATACTGTTATGCATTTCATGGGTCTTTTCCTTCTATTTTTTTTTGGCTTCTATTCTTGAAGAGTTGGAGGAGGGGGGAAGTGCCCCCTGATGCTATGCTGTGGGATACCATGTAGTGATTTAACAGTTTATGACAGAAATTTAAAATTTTGTTGGAGGTTGCTTGTATTAGATGACATTATGTAGGGGAGGGAGGAGGGGTAGAGTTAGCAGGTGTTCCAGGAATAGGGCACATTCATGAGTCTCTAGCCACTTGCCATCTCGGATGTGATAGTATTCTATTATACCATTAATACTGTGATATAACCTACAATGCAGAATGCAGTACTACAACTGTAGTAGGAAGAAGCAAGAGAATCTGGAATAGCCTAAGCAATACATACATCTAAATAAGATATATACAACATTACCATAATGTCATTTGGCTCAAATCATGTTACAGTAATGTTGCAAGGACATCATGAGCTACTTAGGAGCAAGAAAGGGCAGGAAAAGCTGAGATTTTTTAAAATGCATGTATTCTTGGTTGACTGCATTTTCTGCTGGGTTTGCTATCATTAGTGTAATTCTTGTCTCTTGAAGTGAATTACTACAACTCTTTTAACCCTTTCCCTGGCATCCACTTAAATTCAAGTGGAGATCCCCAAAACATCAGTATCATTATCAGTTTATTTTGGCAAGTAAAGCGGTGGACACTATGACAGCCAGGAAACATGGAAGGGAATACATAAGGAACAAAGCATAACAAAATGAAATAAGGCAGAACTAGTAAATAAATAACAAAACACAGGAGCAAAAACAGGGAAGAGGCGAGAGAAACAGAGTATATAGGGTTATGGGTATGGAGGGAGAGAGCATAGTAAGTCAGGAAAATGAAAATGGGGGACAAATTATGTTCATCCCCGAGCATATCGGGAATGAGTTATACCAAGAAGGATTCCTGGAGGAAATACTCTTTTAAGAGTTTTTTTTGCAATATTTGGAGCTGTTTCAACAACTGAATTTTAAATTTTGTTTGGGAGTTCACTCCATAGTCTTATAAGGCCTGGGTAATAAGAATTTGCTCTACTATCGATCCTACTAGACATTCATTTGAAGTTGAGTGTTTTGAGGTTTCTGTTGTTGATGGTTAAGTGGCCCAGAACAGAGTGGTTGGGTTCTGAGGAATGGAGATTATTAATGCAGTGGGTTAATGAAAGATATTTAAGACGGTTTTGGATGGACATGAGATTTAATGTTTGCAGACGAACGGGGTATGGGGGGGGCAGTTCTTTTATTCATTTTCAGGATCATTCTAGTGGCTTTCCTTTGAATTCTTTCGATTTTAGAGCTGTAAGTCTCATTAAATGAGAACCAAACTGGAGCACAGTAATCAATGTGGGGCCGAATAATTGAACAGTAGTGTTTCAGCAGGACATTGGGTTTGCAATCTTTAGCTATAAGGTATATGATTCCCAATAGTTTTGCACACTTTTGAATCAGTTTGCCTACATGTAAGTTCCATGATAGATTGCTGGAGATAGTTATGCCTAGTTGCTTATGGGAGTCATGAATAGTATTTTTTTTACATAGTACATAGAATAGTACATTTGGATATCCCTGCCAGGGAAAGGGTTAAATAACTCAGTGGTAGCAATAGATCTATCCCCAGGGCATTTTACCCCCATTACAATTGGCCCAGAGAAATAAAATTGTTTGGCAAGCTACCACGTAATAACATGAAGCACAGAGGAGACCTCACAAAAACTATCCTACTGCAGTTGAATACTTATACATAAATATAATAAGATAGCATTTCCAAAGCCATTAAGAAAAAATGCAAAAAAGGTGTACAACATGTTTACTGAAACACTGCAAAACTCAAATTTCAACCAAATATTCACTTATCAATTTTGAAATGTTGAGGATTTAATCCTATCAAGTTGCTGTAAGCATACTTTGGGAAAACAGCATTCCTTTTCTATTCCGGATGGAAAACTCTCTCCCCTTGGGTATCTTTTGCTGACTTCCTTATCCTTGTATAGCTGTCTGTCACCTTTCAATTACCTAAGGGTTGGGTTTTTTTGCCACTGCTTGTATGAAGATGTACTTTTAAAAAACAGATTCTCTATTGATATTTTCAAATATTAAATCCACTTTTCATTTCTTGTCCTCTACCTTTGTAAAACTCAATTATTGGAATGCCAACATTATTGTAATCTCAAAAAAGTTTATGAATACCCTCATAAAGAGGCTGTCTCTCTAATTTCTTTTTATTTTTTTTAATTTAACTTTTTTTGCCTTCCACTTCACTTTTTGGCATTGAGGAACAAGCAGCTTTACTAGAACCCATTTACAAACTATTTTCCATTTGTTGTATTACCAAGTTGATTGACAATAAATTTCATACCAACATGGGCATCGTCTCATGGCAAGAGTTGGGTAATTACTTATGTTAAGCACTCTGTATAGTAGGATAGAAAATCTGAACAAAAAACTCACACTGATCTCTGAGCACCAGCAGTTGATACATCATCAGGAAGAACCTCATAATCTTTAGCAGATTCCATGCCTCACAACAATGGTATGCTCAGGACTTAAACAATCTGAAACATTAAACTAGCACTAATATAAAAATCAGTCATGACAGGATTCTACTAAGAAGGTACTTCTGCTAATACTAGAATCTATGCTTCCTATACATTTCGATATACAGAGCTGTTATTGAAAAAAAAGGAGTAAATTTTATATAGCTGTAGCTACAGAATGGAATTGTTTGAATTTTGCATAGTGGTACCAGATAGCCTGGGGTTTTATTTACAGGTGGTGTTGGATCCATATCCAAAAGCATGACAAATCACCCGGGTCTCTCAACTTCCTGAATGCTATCTATCCCTTCAAACCTCTGTATCAGAGCTTTCCCAGCCTGTGACCTACAGGAGCAATTAGTCAACCACATTTTGTGAAGTAGACCTGTACAATATATCAAATTGAATTGTATAGAAGCACTACCATCAATTGCAGGCAGTGACAACTTATGGTTAAGCAATATAATATTAGTATAGTCCTTCGTGAAAAACAAGATACAGGTCTTTTTACCAAATAACACATGATAAATATGATGGTTCTTATTCTTTCTCTCTTGTATATTACTTTTTGGGACCAAAGGGTGCAGCAAGGAGAAGCAATCCTTTTCATAGGAAAAGGATTGCTTTCCTTTTGAACATCATCAGTGCAAGATGGAATGCAATCATTTTCATACAAAATTCTCATTATTAGTTTATGTGGTCTTTCATTCAGATGAATCTTTTCACCCCTAGACCTAAACTAAAAATGTGACTCATGTAGGTTTTACAACTGCCTATTACTAATAGGCTCTGTAAAGGCCTAGTCAGTTACACGTCTCATACGTTCTTCACCAATCTAATATAGCAATTTTATGATGCAATTAAGCCCAAGGTCAGTAGCAACCTAAAATTGGGCCATTGGCGCCTAAATTTGATGGGAGTCCATCTGGCTGAGTCGCTTGTTAGGAGACAATGAAATTTCGGTGCTGTATACACTGGAGCCCAGAAAGGGCGTGACATACTGACATACCTGAACAACTGCGTTCCAAATGATAGGTACTAAACTGTCTGGAGCCCAGGAGGCGTGACTTACAAACGAGTCTGATGAGTTGCGCTTCAATTTATGGGTACTAACTGCAAATTGTCCAAATACTTAACTACTACCTGCCTTATATGGATACTCCTATAAACAGAATGTGGACTTGTATAAGATTATACTCCGGCTCACGTATTCTACTTGTGCGTGTCTGTAACTCCGATAATGAATCGTTTCTCACATGATTGCAAGCGTCCAGCATGCACGCATTTTCTTTTCTTATTCGCATCTCTTCATATCCTCACTTTTGTTCACAGCTTCTCGACAGACAGGGAGAGTTTGCACCCCAATGACTTTCTACTGCTCCCTATTACAGTCCACGCCGCCATATGGGAATCGTGTGTTGTCGTAACCTGTAGAGGCGTGCACAGTAACTGGGAAATACGTCTTGGCCGCGAGCGATGATGTGTTGCGGGACCGCCGTCACGTTGGTACATTCATTGGTTGCAGTGACCGATGTGGAGGCTGTGGCTAGGTCTCCTCGGTGCGTCGGACTTCAGAGGCTTGAGCCTTCCAACGGTTTCAGCAACTCACCGCTACAGATCCCCTTAAATAAAATGTCAGCACCACTCCACCATTCCGATTAAAATTTGGAATATCAATTCAAAATTGCAATTCATGACTAATTTATCAAAACACTCTCTGCTTGCCTCTACCCCGACTACACCATCAAACATGGCGACTGTCAGGTAATGTACGCGGGTTGCGGTGACTCATACAGTGTTTCACACTTGAATTGGACAATTTTTCACTTGACGCAGACATTCGTGCATGAGGACGATGCACAGGCAGGTGTCCCATGCACAGGTGTCCGAATCAAAGTAGAAATTGTCTGATTTAAAGGAGGAAAACTGTAATAGAGCCAGCAGAGTAGTAGGATATTGTAGTAGGAAAATTTTCAGAATGCGAGGGGCCCAAGGTTCACAACGCCCTCCAATTGAATCACTTAACCTGCTCATAGTCTATTAATGATGATATACAGTGTTTTTCACTTGAGTTAGACAATTTATCACTTGACTCACGTGCATGGAACGTTCCTCATGTTTGGATCGAAGTCAAGTGAAAAACATTACATCATCGAAAGATTTCACTTATTCATGCAATATGAATTAAGATGCCATATCACTGGTCCATTAGCAGTTGAATTAATCTAATTAATCTAAATGTAGGAGTCTTGGTAAAGAAGCCCCCATTTTACATGGCTAGAAGTTGGAGTTTAAGGGGATTATCTGAGTGGATGTTGGGTGTACCTTCAAAAGAAAGTTACATTCATGATTGGTCCACTCTAAAGAGATGTGATTTTTATATATATTTATAATATTATTCACAATACCCATTTCTCCCCAAAGAAGGCTTTTTCAAGCAGACCAAAATATCTCATAAGGCCTGGGAGAATCACAAATGGTTCATGGAACCCTGGTACACATTCAAGTCTTCCTGTGGCTAGAAATGAGCTTTCTGTAAAATCTTACAACAGAATTCTTCTTGCATGAAAATCATTCCTTCTACCATAGTATTTTCATTTTGAAAGGACACCATGGCTACAACAAGGCCAACAAGCTGGTGGGGAGGGAGCTTCAGCCCCCTGAGCCCTCCTCCCTCCATGCACCACTGGCCTTATTGCTTACAGTATAATATTAGGCCTTGGGCCTATGTAGATTTCTGCATTATAGAATGGAAAAGTTTTTCTTTCAAGAATGGCAGGTTTGAGTCCATTATTTGGAGGGGTCGGTAGATCCCAAAGCAAGAATTTGGTGGAATTTCGAGCTGGCAAAATGTTCATGAAGGGTAACACAGTGCACCCAGACAAGAGGAAGGGCACTGTTTATGTTTATCAATCAGATGACACCCTCATGCATTTCTGCTGGAAGGATCGCAGCAGTGGATCAGTTGAAGATGTAAGGACAAGTCTCCCAGGCATTTTCTTCCTTGCCAGTTTGATTTATGTATTCAGGCTTGTTTTTTCCTTCAGGATTTAATCATCTTCCCAGATGATGTGGAATTCAAGAAAATTCCCGAATGTACAACTGGGAGGGTGTTCCTCCTCAAATTCAAGTCTTCCAGTCGCAAGCTGTTTTTTTGGATGCAGGTTACTGTCATGTCATATATCCATGTGCCATATGTGCTACAGGGTGTCCTGTAAGTCACTATACCATTTAAAAAAAAATCACAACTACTGAAAAGTTGATGCAATAAAGAAGTAACATTAATTGAATGATAGAATGTCATTTGGAGTTATCTTTGCCTAAAATGTAGGTATTTCTGAGTTTTGAAAGTGGCTTAAAATGCCCTTTGCCTTTATCAATACATATGGCATGAGGCTCTGCACCAAAAATTTGCTGAAACTCCCTCTGAACTCTGATGGGACCTTCAAAGACCTCCAGCTAAGTGGCAACTTTTCTTTGTTGCTTCAACATCAAATGTGAAAACTTTTCTCATTTTAGTGAGAGCAAATTAACCTTCTTATTTGATTTTTTCTTTTGCTTCATAAATCTATCTGAAATTAGAAGAAGAGAGTAACATAAAGTTTAGCCAGAATAGGATTCAACAAGGCATACCTTGAATAACCCTAAACAGCTACACCTTTTTAATATGCATTTGAAGCAGTTTTCATTCGAGTCTGATTACGAGTCATTATTGTGAAAAAAATTCTAAAGACCATTCATTCCAGCAATGCTAAACAACAGTAACCTGTTTCTTGCAGTTTGGAAAATATTGCAGTTTGAAATGGGATAGCGACTTATGGGACACCCTGTATTTATCAGTGTGGGTCTTACTGTTATTGCTGATCACTCTCTTTTCAGGAACCAAAAGTTGACAAAGATGAGGAGTTCTGTAATAAAGTAAATGAGTACCTCAATCATCCACCGTCACAACGACGTCGTCATGATACAGATGGAGGAAGCCTTCCCATTGGCAGTCTCCCACCTGAACTTGCTCAATTGGCAGGATCAGGAAATTCAGATGTGCAAAATCTTTTGTCTGGAATGAGTCAGCAACAACTTCTCCAACTTTTTGGAATGGGAGGCTTAGGATCCCTACTTGGTGGTGTTCAAGGCGGGTGAGTATTCCAAAGAGTCTTCACTTCTGGAATATTAATAGGCCTAGGACCTATGAAAATTCTTATGCACCAGAACAATTATGATTGGATAGAGATTCATTTGTGTCCCAACTGAAGATAATGAGATGAACTTTGGAGAAGTCGTAAGTCTCCTTGACGGCTATACCTTTTTGTTCCTCTAAAATTATATGCTGTTTACTATATCATCTAATTATACACCATGACAGTTTCTAGTGTGAATAGGCTAGTCTTTCAATCATTGATCTCTATGCCTGCAAGGAGTAATTGGGCCTATTAATGAATGCTTGAATTTGTGCTGTGCTGGTCATGCATATCAAACAGTGCACATGCTCATGGGTTTAACTGCTGTCATTCCCCTTACATGTGTTAAGACCCATCGCAGAGACTCTTTATTTCTCTTCTGGATGTGGTGAACCTAAGACCTAGTCACTTTGAAGAGGTGTGGACAGTTGTGCTTTTTGTACAATCCTTCTTAACATAACATTTGTGAGGTGAAAATTTGTTACATCATTCATTACAAAAAAACTCCTGTCATCTTCTGATCTACTGAAATTTCAGTTTGGTATTCATCACATTGGCTTTCAGAAGATGGAACATAAAATTTATGACATCTTCACTGCAATTGTTTATAATTAGAGTTGATACATTATGCAAAATTGAAAGTGTCCGTGTGAGTCATCTCTTGGCAATCTATAAAAATAGATGCCTGGGGTTCTTGTACCTCACCTCACAAATGCCTGATTGAATGAATTCCCTACCATGAACTGTTTATAATTGTATGTAATGTTGATTGCTACCTGTAATCCTATCAGGAAGTGCCACTGTCATAGCCATCATTCTCATCTTGAAGAATTAGCATGTGATATCAATTAATTTTATCAACTGATCTACATTGAGAAGAACTTGCAAATCATAGCTGTGTAAAGGTACTTTGGGTGACTGGAAAGTAATGAAAATAATTTACAAATTTGTAGTTCTACTAGCAGTGCACTTCTCACTGCTCAGGCATTTAGATCAATATGTAATCTCTGTGATAGCTGATTTTCAAGTCTATCCATTGAGGAGTGCTTACATAGCAGACCTCAAAAGACCAGTGCAATGCAGACTGTTTTAAACAATTTGGCTGTGGCTACAAGTGCTGTGAACTTTAGCTTCTAGGAGTTCACATGGTTAAAACTTGGCATTGTGGCGGCTGCCTGTCTCATGAAACTGGTCACTGTGTATGGCAATGATGCTCCTGGCAAGTCTATGGTCTTTCGGTGCTTCAGCAGCTTCAAAAAAGCAGCTGAAAAGGAGGAGGAGCCTTCCTTTCTTGACCAGCCCTGCAGTGGCCATCCAAGGTCCACCAGGACAGCATGTCGAGACAGTGTGAGAGCTGATGGATGAGGACTGCCAAGTGACCCCTTGATAGCTGGCCAAGTGGCTTGACATTGGCAAGAGCACTATCCATGAGGTGCTCACACCAGATCTGCAACTGCGCAAGGTGGCATCAGTTTGGGTACTACACCAACTGACCAAGGACAGCAAAGTGACTTGCATCAACAGCACCAAGCACATCTGGGACATTTTTTTCTGTGAAGGGATGAAGGCTTTCTGCAACAAGTTTGTTCCATGTGACAGGCAGCAGACGCAATGTCAAGTTTCAACCACCTGAATGCATAGAAGCGAAATTTCTCTGCATATATAGCCATAGCCAAATTGTTTAAAACAGCCTGCATTGCATGGATCTTATAGAGCTGTCTTTTGAGGTCTGCTCTGTAAACACTTCTGAACGGATCCGCTTGAAAATAGGCAATCACAGAGATTACATGTTGATCTAAGTGCCTAAGCAGTGAGAAGTGAATCACTAGTAGAATTAAAAATTTAAAAACGATTCTCATAACTTTCCAGACACCTGAAGTAATCAGTCCCTATTGTAGAGATTTTTTAGGTAGCCATCAAGCAATGGAGATGAAAAAAGTCATGCAAGTTTGTGAAGTAGATTGTGGAGTGAGAGAGGATTAGGAATTATTCACTGGTTAAGAGTTTTACCCAGCTTCACCACCCAGCACCCAGTCAGTCACCCAGCTTCATCTATCTGGCAGAAAATTATTATACTCAAATCTCATTGCATGCAGTTGAAAGGGTAATGAGATTGTCTGTTGATGTCATTTTTTATCACAAGCCAATATAAAATTGTGGGTACCTCTTTGTTCCTCAAAGGAGTCGAGGTTCATCCCGTGAATCCAGTCGCCCTACTTCATCTACTACTTCTTTGGCATCAGGAGTCCAGCCTCAAGCATCCAGTTCCGGGCCAGCATCCTCTGAGCCAGCAGCAGCTCAAGGAGCTAAAGAGAGTGAAAGTGCCAGCAGAGTACCTGCTTCTTCTGTGGGATCGTCAGGGAAGCCCCCCACTCCTGTATCAAGCCAGGGTCCAATCCAGCTGAGTGATCTGCAAAATATTCTGCAATGCATCACTGTCCCCCCAGATGCAGCAGCTGGGGGTTCTGATGCTCATCCCACTTCACATACTCAAGGTGCACATAGAGAACTTATCCTGTACTGGTATGTAGGAATAGATCAGGGAACAAAATTGGAGTACAATAATAGCACTTGCTTCTTTTTGCCTGTAAAGGATTTATCTGCCTGCAGCATCTACGAGGGGGTTCAACAAGTTTTGCAACTCAAATTGTAAATTTCAAATAACTTTATTAATTACAACAATAATATATTTAATCCTTCAAAGTACTTTCCCCCCCTCAGCATCTATACATCACTGCAGCCTTGCCAGCCAATTCTGGAGAGCCCCATGGTACTCACATGCAGGGATAGATTTTAGGGCCAACCATCTTCAACTTCAAGAGCAGATTATATTCACTTGTTGCCATGAATATGGCTTTGGAATTTTTCAAGGGTGTGGGTATCTTCCAGAGCTAAGGAGTATATCAGTACTGGTATATTCTTGTGTCTTGTCTGCAAAAATTTTCTGACAGCAACTTAATATTTTGACCAACCATCTACTCTACTATTGCCCTTAACTAATGATGACCTAGAAAATGTTTGTTATTGTGTCCAATATTGATGATTGGACTTCATCTTGGCTGATTTTTGGTGCAGAGTGCGAGAGTCTGAGTGAAGAACTGAGACTTCACTCCAGAGCTTCCAAAATTAAAAGTAGACAATGGATGATAGGTCCAGCAACTTATGGAGATCTTCTGGTCTGGTAATCTTGCTTGGATTCCTTCATCTCAGTTGTACAATTTGTATTGGTACTCCCATTTCAATTGCAGAATTCCTATCTAAATTTGGCAAAATAGTACCCATTCATTTTCTTCATGTTGAGTGCAGAATTTGCAAAGGAACTTCATGCTTTGGATTGGTATATCTGATGTGAAGAAAACCCCATAATGTCTCACAATAACCTGGCATTAATAAATTGCCCCTAGCACTATATTGTATTTCAGTATCTTGATAACAGCAATCACTATTTCTTATTTGTGCTTGAAGATATGGAGAAAAAAAAATAAGTATTTTTATTATTATATTTATAATACTTTTACATGAATTACATGCTTTCTCCTAAACTTCTGGCTACAAAAAGCAGCTTCGATAGTGATGTCATGTTCTGTTTCAGTTGATTTATCAACTGCCATGACAGGTGAAGCCCTGCAGCCAATCCTGTCCAACAAGCAATTTGTTGAGAGACTCAAGCAGTACCTGCCACCAACAGAAGATCAGTCTGCTCTACCAGCCAGTGACCATCTCAAAGACACCATACACTCTCCACAGTTTCAACAAGTATTGAGATCATGTTTCCCCTATGTAAAATCACAATTTCTCCTTAGACTTGAAAATAATCATGTTTATTTTGTATTTGCAGGCTGTGGCTGTCTTCTCAGCTGCTCTGCAGTCAGGACAACTTGGTCCTTTGATAAAGGAATTTGGATTGGGTGAAGATGCAGTGAAAGCAGCTGATGCAGGGGATATGGGTGCTTTTGTGAAGGCCCTCTCTAAGAAAAAGAAGGGTGACAGAGGCAATGAGAAGAAGGAGATAGATGATGAACATATGGCATGCGACTAGCCTTGTATTTTGTCTGCATTTTCTATTCACTCTTTGTCCCTTGCTTTTTGGTTGGCCATATAAATATGAACCCTATGCATAATACAGACCTGGTCTACTCCCTGGAAATAAATTAAGATTGGGTCCTCCTATCACATGCCTATTATTTAGTTATAGTCCTCCTCTGTCATATCTTTTCACCCATGGGAATGGATAGCAAGTCAACCAAGTTGAACAATATTTTCTAAAGGGAATAAGAGCTACTGCTTCTGAATTCCTCAGGCAAGTCTTCTGGCTTTTTTTTATTGGAAGACAGCATAACCATATTGATGGGCTTGCTCTTATGACATCTGCAATGTAATCTGACCATCCTTCCATCAAGTGGTGAGTGGACAGACAGTTGGCTTCCACTGTTCTGTTGGTGGGTGGATGCAAGCTGGATTGTTGAATCCCAGTGTAGACATTGCCTGTACAGGACATATTAGCATTATGCCCATCTGAGTACTGTGTATTTGAGATCCATAACCTTGCATCCTTTCATTTGACTCCTGACATACTGTCATTCACTCACACTTGACTTTTTAAGAAAATGCAAAAAAATAATCTCACCATCTCTTTGACATTTGTGCAATACTGACATCCATTGGAAAGTATGCAAGCTAGCCTCATACAAAAATTAGATATTACATTAGCTAAGACCTGTGCATGAGGCCCAATATTTGCAATTGATACACCTTGTTTTTATAAGAGGAAGATTAGACCAGTCAACCCACCAGTGAATCAATTTCCATAGAAACCATTAAGAAGCCACCTACTTAAAAAAAAAAAAAGTTCATTCATGACAAACTTTGTAAACATCCCAAAGAAGTGCTTATAGCTGATGTACTGATAGATACATAGCCCGGTGTCACTCCATAAATGTAGTTGGTTCAAATGGTATATATCCCTCATAGGCATATAGCATCTCCTAGGGTCATTTTTGAAGGATAGCAAGGAATAGCTTGTGTCATGGAATAAGTTTCAGTGTATAAGCAAATGTAATACCAAAAGCAAATTTTAAATGTTTAATTACATTTTAAATGAGCTAAATTGGTTCCAATATTGAAATTCCTCTGACACAATCCCTTTTTGCTCTTTCACATTATCAGACTTAGAAGATATCAGAAGTATTTTTTAGCACTTCTTAGCTCTTGAAGTCAGCACAAGAGTTCTCTGAGAATTAAACCAAAAATGGCTGCATGATGGTAAAGATGAATAAAAACAAAACATTTTGGTCTACACTGGGTAAGAGAATATATATTTTGTATCTTCAGTCCCATTATCACACAAACATGACTATAATTGGTAACTTGAATTTGCCCAAACATGCAATAAAAAAAAAACAGACCAGTGAAGATATCTTTGGGGCTAAAAGTCACAGGTACAGGATCATCAGAGTTTGGACTTAATTAAATGATTAAGAGGGCTTTTCAGAGCAGCATCATAAAGATGCTCATACACATTGCCATCATATGCCCCAAGTGCCGAGACAAGGACTTCATCACGTAGGTCAAATGCATCAACCAGATTGACTGCTTCTGGTCGAATTTCCCGCAGGAGCTCGCCTCGAGTCATTTCCAGATGCTTCAGGTCCTCTGAGGATACATGGGCATACTGCAAGTAGGAAAGAAAAAGAGAACACTGTTGAACAGATCTCACTGAACCATAAGACCAATCAAGTATGACAGGTACTGACAATGATGAAATCTCCCAGATCCTCAAGCATCCAGAAGAGAGAATAGAGTCGACACAGAGTTCCCAAGATGTTCCTAGTCCCCTGGCTCATTTGATTCTTGACATGGGCCACAAACTGAGCAACAGAGAAGTGTCTTATGTAGGCCTTGGCAGCTGAGACAAGAGCCACTGATGAGCGATTCATGGCCTCCTCAAAGCAAATTCCCCCTTGGGAGATTAAACTCTGCAGGTTGTGGAAGCTTGACCGGATTCGACTGCAATAGTTGAAAAATAGAACCTGTATCTTGCCAGGAAATAAGTTCAAGAGTAGCACAATGATTCTCACCCATGGGCCACACACAAGAATGCATTGAGTACAGCATCCAAGCAGAGAGTTTGTCCTTGGAAAAGACATCCTTTGTTAATTGCTTCTGCCTGGAAAGTTTGCTGAAGCTCAGACTTCATCAGGTACCTGCAAATAATAACAAGGTCAGTCCTAATTCTGTATCAAATACTAGCTATGATGACAAGATCAGTGGAGCTTACCTGGCAACCTGGAGCCAGAGAACAGTATTTTCGCCTTCATAAATAGAAGCAGCAGCACAGAGCCCATAAATTTGAGGGAACTGAGAAGACATAAGGAAACCGTGTCCTCCACATGCCATTCGACAAACTTCCACAAAATACTGGGCATCTCCAGTTGATTGAGCCTTCAGGCCACAGCTCAAGATATGCAGCTGTATTGAAAAAGTGACATACAATGCACTTCACACTTGGGAAACTGAACCAAATGTTGCCATGTCTTCTATTCACTCACCTGTGGTAATGTGTCCAGGTCTCCATTATTCACATGCTCATTCACTTGATGGTATTGCTCCATCACGTACTGAAACCCAAAATGGATCCCAAATGCTGTAGCAAGGGCAGGAAACAGTTTCCACTGTTGTGTTACAAAGTCCAGGATTTGCACCTCACCTGCCCTGAAAGGCATACAGGCAAAAAACACTATGGAGTATCAGTTATATAATGAAGGAGCAAATGCTTTCCAATTACCCTCAATTCAGTTGGGATTCCAATTATGTTCAAAATAATACCCATGCAAAGTTGTACCAATTCAGTGCTCACCAATTTCTCAGTATGGAACTTTAACCTGTTTACCGTTTTTTTTTTATTGCAAGCACTCAACAGTGGAATACCTCTATATATGTTGAATATGGATATGCCTTTCAGCACCCACACTGAATTTTGCAGGCCATTCAAATGCAGGGGCCATTCAAATGCAGGGATGCTCAAAGGCAATGAGTGCAGTATTAAAGTGGACATTTTAATGCCAAAAGGTGGTCACCCCAGTAAAGGGGCAAAAGCACAAAATTTCCTAATGAAAATTTTTTTTCTTTCTGATGGTCTGATGGTTGACTTTGAACTCCATGCATGAAATTTTTAAAAATAGTTTTTAAGTCAGTCTACAAGGTTCTTCACAAGCAAAGGCCAGTACTCTGAAAGTTTCTCACACCCAGTGACTGTTCTATCAGAGATTTTTCCAGGACTTCGATTATCTTAATTATCTTATATGGCAAGTAAAGGAAAAATCTTTTTTTTTTTAACACACCCTGGAACATCTATCTCAGGTTGTGTAATATCCTGTATATACAAGTTAAATTTATATACAACAAATATATAACTGTGCTAAACATTTATTTGAATAAACATTCAGCACAGGGGTTTATAATGACCCTGGGTTAAGGGGTTTAAAGGATTTTCATGGTATGTTTTTCCCATGAATACAAAATACTACATATTGCTTTAGACTTTTCCATATTTATGCAGCTGTTGAGTATCAATCTATTGCAGTATAAATTAAGTGTACATTCAAAATGGAATCAAAAGCAGTCTTAAATGTTCAGACTAGAAGCATTTTAAGATTCTTACTGTCTCAATATTCACAGTATGAGAAATGTCATTTCCCCCCTAACATTTGCCATTACTTTGATGGACAAGTAATCACATTCCAGAATGAGGTTGCACTACTTTAAAAAAAAGTAACTATTTCTTGAAATTTGTCCAAAAGGTGGGCTTTGCCCATCCAGTACAATGACACATTGTATCTAGGAACTTCAATTGCTGCAGTATTAAGAAGTCTCAGATACTATCAGAATCTCAACCAGGCATGCATCAGTCATGACAACTTTATCATCCAAGGAGGCTTCCAGTAAGATGATAATCATGCAGAACACATTCTGCCCTGATCATTCTGTGCAGTATGCAACCCTTCTTCATCTGCCAAGTAGCTCAGAGCACAGATCTCAACAAAAAACAACAGTTAACATTACCAGTACTGGGTAAGAGTAATGGGTTATTGCAAATGCCATTTCCTTTTTTAGTTAATGAAGGAATTTATTCCCCATGAAAGGTTACATTTCACATCAAATGTAGCTATCACAATTCATGTTTCAATGTAGTTAATGTGCTGTGAAAAGTTACACATCAGCACTGAAAATTTTGACTTGCAATGTAAATTTACTATTTGAAAAATACTCAGTTAAGATTTTTTTAAATGTACAAATTGCCAGGAGTACTTCTTTATGTTTCCAAGGAGAAGGAGATCAGAGGCTGAACTAGTAATGTGCCTCTCATGCCAAACCAGTATTAGGCCAGGCTTAGGCATAGATTTGTATCCGAGCATTCAAACTTGGACTTAAGCGGTGTTATTTCATTTGGGTATGATCTGACTTATATTTATTTGGTATCAATTCACAACTGGAGATAACCATACCAATGACCATTGAGCCATCCAGTACCTCTAAAAGCAATCTAAACCACCTGCTGTCATTTTTTGCTTTTCACTTTTTTTCATTACTAAAATTAATCTTATCTAGCCTATGGAAAAAAAATAGCATTTTTTTCCTGGCTTACACCACTACACTTGGCAACAACCCCAAGGTACATTCAGATAACCCAAGAGCTTGATGAAACTGTAAAGGTCTAGAAGCCAAAGTCCACACTTGCCTTATCTTTCCTTCTATATGAAGTGGAACAATTCACATACAGGGCCTTATCCTTGAAAACCATGACATACATTGACAGAAGCTATATTGTATTTGCCATACCCAGGGGAGATCTCTGATTGGCGTCTCACAGCACTATAACGTGTTGCAATAGTCACGGCCTTCTTCAATTGGTTGCACATGTCTCTGCATATCATTACACGTACAAACACCATGGTCCCATAGCTCAATTTGCTGTTGGCTGGTCTTATGTATGTCCCATCCTATAATAGAAAAAGTTTCAAAGACAAGATATCTTGAGATTAATTTAACTGCCCATCCTCTGCAAGAGATGGATTTCATGGAAGACACAAGCACAACAAACCTGTAGAACCTGTGCATGCTTCATGAGAAGATTCTCTCTGGGAATGCGCACATTAGTCAACCGTAAGAAGCCATTATCTGCTGCATTAAAGGCCATTCTCCTACCAATGTCTCCAATCTCAATTCCTAATACAATAGGAAAATGTAATCATGGGCATGATTCAGATACTCTTATTTCAAAGTCATCTCTTCTCGTGTGGATGAAAACTCTCTATGAACCTGATAATGGTGAATGATCATCCATATTCCTTAGTGGGACAATAAAAGGATGCACACCACGGCATTCTCCTCTTGTGTATAACTGTGCCACAACAATTGCATGTGTTGCTGTATTCCCCACTTGAAAATGAATGAAAAATGAATGTCTTTAATTTTTCCCTCCTTTCTCAAAGCAGAGACTCCATGTCTCGATGGTAACCTACAGCAACTTGAAACTCACAGCCACCAGGCCACCACTTCAGCGAGGTCAATGTGGGTGTATTTAGGATGAACTCTTCTGCCTTGGGATCATACACAGCTGTTGTTTCAAGGCCACGAACAAAAGTTCCGTGCCCAAGTTCCGTCTGTTTGAAATACACAAGCACCAATCTATTGAATATAGCATGAAGGTAAAAATAAATATAGAAGGATCTGAGAATCGCTGACAACCTGTGCATAACAGCCAATGATTTCAAGAGTCCAGCCCATGTGAAGCCACTTCACAATCTGCTCAGGGGTGCCTTGGCCAAGAATGCATGGGAGGAACATACCATAATGGACAGCCAATGGATTCCCATCCAACCCAAGGGTGCTTCCCATCCATCCACCAAATAGCATCCTGAGAAATGGAAAAGCAACTCTAGACAACCCTTCCATTCAGTCTATAAAACTAAAGTTGCCAGTTCATCAAATTAATAATTGGGCTATACTGGTTTTGCATCCTTTTGATTGGCAAGTTATGTCTTTGAATATGAACCAAACTAGGGAGCATATAAATTTTTTTTTCAGAGCCATGGTAACCAATTCTAAATTTGTGCTATTGGAACAACACATGCACTACTATATAGTTTCAAAATACAGATAGCCACTTATTTTTATCTCTTTACTAAACCTCCACTTACTGAAAAGCTTCTTGTGGTGTTCCAACCCCTTCCATATTGCTAACTTGCAGGGCACCCATAATCTTCTTTGATTTTGCCACTGCCACTTCATAGAACTCTTTGTGGCCCAAGTGATCATATTTGCTTACTCCTTCAAAGGCCCCAGGAATGCTCAGTATATAGGATTCTGCAATGATAAAAAAATGACACAATAGGTTAGATGCCAAAATACATGGAAACCTGATTAGCTCAAAAAGGCTCTTTATGTTATATGATAAAAAAGTAAACAACTCAGATGGCAATTTATCATTGACCCTTTTGCTCATCTTGAGTTCCATTGGCACTGAGATTGAAATCAGTTTAATTATTTTATACATATTACACAAATAAATTTGATCTTAAGGTACTTATCCTGAAGTCAGGGTTCCACCCAGACACTCTCAACCCAAATGCAACCATGAAAATCAATTAGCTGTCTAATTACAGCTGATATTGTCATGAAAAATATTTTGAAATTAGAGGTAATTTACATTTTGGGAGACATGATTGGAAATAAAACCGAGAAAAACAGCCTGAAAATAACTCAGTATTGAGAAGGCTGAATTTAGCCAATTTAACAAATTGAAGTCCACCAATAAATAGCCAAAGGCATACCTAAAGCTCGTCGGTGCTCTGTTGCCTCTTTCCCACCGTCCAGCAGATTTGTGAGCTCCTCTTTATTGAAGGAGCATGAAGCCCTCTCCTTGAGGAGATCAGGATTTACAAAACTTTTCCCCATGACTTTTATCTTTGGCAGAACTTCAGTGAATCACATGGCTTAAGGTTGCAGGCATATGCAACAGGTATGTCAGAATGTGTTTTTGTGCAAACACTACAAAGCCAACAGTATCACGGCTCCCTCTTGGATGCTTCACATGTCTTTCATGCTTCGAGGGGTGGAACAGGACTGACGCACGACATGCAGAGCGCAGAGGAGGGTAGGATAAACAGAATGATAGGGCGTTTCTGAAGGCCTATCGGCTTCACGTGCGAGTCATGCGCACACCCAAGTACGGAAGTCCACGAGTATCTACGACCCGCGAGAAGAACCGTCGCTCGATGGGAAGGCTGCCACGCCATGTGCCCGAGCCTATTGCGTGTGATGCAATCACGAACGGCGACCTTGCGACTGAGCCGAGGATGCTCGAAGAGGCACAAGGACTCCCTCGTGGACTGGTTGGCGTCGGCCATGCTTGACCGAGAAGCGAGACAGTCTTCCTGCGGAACTCCGTCCCGCACTGCGTCTCAACTGTCTGAGACGACGATTTATGAAACATTCCACGTGCCAGGGTTAGAAAATCCATCAAAAATGGGTTAACGCCCTGGGGGCATGCAAGACCTTCTCGAAGCTCACGTAAGAGAGAGATAAAAAAATTTGCGGCTGTTTCATTACCAATTGCCTAAGAAAATACCTTGAGGTGAATTCGCCAGGGAAGTGTTAAGTACTTCCTCATCCCTGGTGCTATGACCAGAACGAATTCAGCTCGAAAATACCATTTTGGATCGTTCCCTGAGATGGCAGAAAGTTCCATTCTACTTCCACGGCGTACAATAGGCCGAATGGATCTGACGTGATTTGCAACTTATGTAGCCGTTGGCAAGAAGAGATCCTTTCGATATTGTCTCGAAATAATGCAGGCGAATTTTCTTCTGTTCTGCCGTAATTACCATCTGCTTAGAAAGGCTTGCCATTCACGAGTCTCGATTATCTTCGGTTCTACTTCGGTCGGCATGCTCGTCCTGTCTCTTGCCATTGTTCGGGACTGGCATGCGTTTCGAGTTCGAGGCATGCCTATGGGTCGAAGATTGTTTCCCCCTCGCGTAGGTTTCGCGAACCGGAATGATGTCGACCGTTTCCGGTCTCGTTTTTTCGCCTGACCCCGATCCTGCCGTTGCCATTCGCTTAACGGTGTCACGGCTCGACCCGACGGCACCGACGCGGCTCGCCGTTTCGTCCTCGGATCCGTCATGTAGGTCGAGGAGACGAAGGAGTGATGCAGATCGGAGGGGCCGACGGGTCGGATCCGCGGTGCTCTTGCGGGCCTCGAACGGAGGACGGACCGAGGCCGACTTCTTTCTTTCGCTTTGCTCTCGAGGCTTTCCCCGTCTTTTCGTCGCTATACGTCCAGCACGATCGGCAGATTTGTCGAGAAGGATATCGACCTCTCTCTTGCCGTACCCGATCCTCCGGTACCCGCGAATTCATTCCCGAGTCGGTCGGTCGCCTCGTCGCATCATCGAGGCAAGGAAGAGGCTGCGGCAGCGACGCGTCTGCTATTTCTTAAGCGCCTCCATTCCGTCGCACGGAGATGCGGAGGGTGGGAGTGAGCTCTCCGTGTGAACCGAATCGAGGTCGGAAATCCTGGACGAGTCACAGGCTGAGAAAAATGTGTCATAACAGGAGGATCGCGAGACGACGATTCCGATCCGAGCATCGTTGACGCTACTTAGGCGATGTGCCTTTTCAGCCAAGGCTTCCAGCTCGGCAATTACCACCAGAAAAATGTGCAAAGCTGGTTTAAAAAAAAAATGCTGTATACATTCCTGTTTTGTTTTGTTTTGTTTTTTTTTTTTCCTGTCTGTCGCCGTAATAGGTAAGTCCGTCGTTTAACCCACACATACATGACTTTTTTGTTAAGAAATAAAAAACAATTGTTTCAAGCGGCCCAATTTCTGTTGTTCTGGAAGCAAATAATGCTTTTGGTAAACGATGCCGCTTTTAATGCTCTTGCCATATGTTCGCGAACTCCTTGAACAAATTACTGCCCACACGAGGTGGGTGGATACATTGGTGGGTACAGTCAGCAAAAAAAAAAGTAATTTAAGAGTGAAATATATCTGTCCTCGAGTGTTCCCCTTATGCATGAGAGGGTTAACGGCTCGTACAGCTCTCATCCATGAAGCTGTAACCGTCGGGTGAAACCCACGGAGTGTTTTACGACTCGATATGGAAATCGTCCATCGACTTCGCATCCAAAAACCTGACGGAAAAAAAAAGATAGGAAACTCGACGACGAATCGGAACTGCTGATGCCCGAAAAATAAAACGAGGAAACGAGTCGAAAATAGCAGAGGTTACCCTTTCGTTTCGGCACCCGACAGATTCATCTTTCATCCCCTCATCCCCCCATCCCCCCCCCCCCCCCTCCCTCCCTTCCCCCTTACTAATTGCACGTGACGAAGCAGTACGATGAAAAGAGGAGAGGAACCTCGAGACGTGCGACGCCCACGCGTTCCTTCCTTCGCCGTCCCACGAGACGATGCGTCTCTCTTTCTACTCTTTTGGCGTTCTCCTTTTGGGGGAGCCGAGAGGGCCGGAGTCTGGAGTCGTTCGAGCTCGTTTCTCGCCTCGCTCCCGTTAGGTATGCGGCGGATGGGGAGTTCCCGTCGAGCGTTCCGGCCGGGAACGGTGCCATCCGCGTGCGTCTGTGTCGGCTCCGCGGGGTCGCGGGCTCGGTCCGCCCCCGGTCGACGGAGCGAGAGGCTCCGGTTTCCCGCTTTCCCTCGGCCGCGAATAAAAAAAAATTTCGTTCTTTCGAGCGGCAGATCGGAACGCTTTCGTTCGACCGCGTGGAGACGATGCGGGGCCGACGGAAGCCCTCGCGTGGGTCGTCGTTTCTGCGAGGACGTTGCGGAACGGTCGCGGCGATCCGAGGCGACGGGATCCCGAACGTCCGAAAAATCCCGATTTCCCGCATTCCCCGAAACGGCCGGGTTTCGCAACGGCCATTGCGCATCCCCGGCCGAACGAAAGGTCGAGCCTTCCCGAAACTCGCGGAACGGCACGTCCCCTCGAACGATTTATTGCTCTCGGGGTTCGAGGAAGTCTGCAACCCGAAGGTGAAAAAACGGCATGGCGAACGAGTTCGAGATGATCTCGGAAGAAAAAAAAAACAAACAAACCAGCCCCTCGAGTTTCACCCTGGTGTCTAGAAATTGTTCCGCACGACGGGAAGATGGCCTTCGATTTGGTAACGCGGAAAACGATCGCATCTTTTCTCGACACGTGTCCGGAGATTCCGACTTTCGCGATGACGTCATCGACGGGTCGGCGAGCAAAATAAAAAAATTTTCTCGTCGGAGGAATTCGATCGTTACCCGAAGAACGTGGAAAGTGCTTCTATTGTTTCTATTCCGACCGTGGGATCACTTTCGGATTCCGCGAAGAATATTTCTAAATGAGGTTGAATATCATGCGTGCTTGACGTGCGTTAAGGGGGGGAGGGGGGGAGGGGTGGAACAAAAAGATAAGCGGGACTTCTAAAGTGGGTCGGACGGGCGACTCGAAAAACGGCATCGTCTCTGCGACTCGTTCGCTCGACGAAGCTCTCGCGGATCCAAGGTCTGGATTGTATTTTGCCCATCCGCCTCGGTCGGATGGGAAGACGGATGTCGCGGCCGCTTTTCCCCGTCACGACCGGGCGCAACACGATCCCCGTCGCCGTGCGTTCCGGCACGCGGAACCGCTTTCTTCCCCGTCTCGGTTCTGCTGGCACGACGGAGATTC